CACCGACTGTACAGACAGCACGAGATCGCGTACGGCCCCAGCGACTCCAAGCGGATCCACCATGTGTTGTCTCCCACTGAGGAAATCCCCCCTCTCACTAGTGAGTCTTGAGCCTTATTCTCTCACTAGTGAGTTTGAGCCTTATTCTCTCACTAGTGAGTCTTGAGCCTTATTCTCTCACTAGTGAGTCTTGAGCCTTATTCTCTCATGAGTGAGTCTTGAGCCTTATTCTCTCACTAGCGAGTCTTGAGCCTTATTCTCTCCCTAGTGAGTCTTGAGCCTTATCTTCTCACTAGTGAGTTTTGAGCCTTATTCTGTCATGAGTTAGTCTTGTACCCTATTTTCTCATGAGTGAGTTTTGTTTTAGCGGGTGGTTGAGGGTTCCAACCACTATTGTGCCCTATTCTCTCATGAGTGAGTCTTGGTGGTCGGAGGGTGCATCTGTTGTTCCCCTATTCTTTCTCCAGTGAGTCTTGTTTAAGCGGCTGGTCGGAGGGCACCGCTGTTGGGCCCTATTTTTTTTCTTTCAGTCTGTTGTGTCTGTCTGTCTGTCTATCTGTCTGTCTGTCTGCCTGTCTTTGTGTGTGTGTCTGTCTGTCTATCTGTTTTTCTGTCTGTCTGTCTGTCTGTCTGTCTGTTTGTCTGTCTGTATATGTGCTAGGTCTATACACATGTTTATTAAAAAGTCAGCGTTTACTAACACACTATAACTGGATGAGGAAGGCTCAAGATTCAATCAATAAGATCAGGGTTATTGTGAAGGTGATGCAGCAACACTCACCAGGGTAATGCATTAAAAGAAAATTTCGACTGCCTCATTTTTTAGATAAGTTCTAAGTGTCTGTCTTGAATGATGTGACTGCCACCTGCTGGACTGTGACCGAAGGGTAAGAGAAAAACCTTAGATGTACATGCTTGGTCAAGTAAGTTCTAAACAGAGAGCTCAAGTTTACTTGTGTTTACCCATAATTAGTCACTTTTAAGCTCAAGGGGGCTATCCCGAAAAATGCTGTTCTGAGAAAGTCGGAGATAAAGTTTTTGCCCCTTGTTCAGTTTCTTTAAAAGACAAGGAGAGTTTTCTCTACAACCAAAGAAATATACACACCAATGAAACCAAATTTCTCCTATAGGTAGGGCAAACCCACTTTTGGTGTAGGTCAAGATTTCTGGAAACCCCCGAAATTTTGGTTAGCCTGCTTGTCCTTAAAAGCGACTAATTACTGTATAAACAGAGTCAAACAAGATGCACAAAGCTGTTTTCCTTGAAAACTTTGCTCCTCCCATTAACTAGAACAGTGGGTGGTTGGTGGGTGGTCTGGTGTGATTTGCTTCTTCTTTCCTATCAGACATCTATAGTCTTTATCTTTCCTCCTTTTTATATTTGTTACTCTCTTGTGACACCTCTAATCTTCGGCACTTATATGACCTTATTGTGTTGCAAGTGCCGTAAAACACTTACTGAAACTAAAAAGCTGTTTTTCTTGAAAACTTTGCTCATCCTATAAACTGCAACAAGTTTTTTGCTTATTCGATTAGGTGGAACAACTTTATATAACTCCTTAGAAAATTATCTAGTGCCATATGTGAGGCGTGCTGTCAAAATGAGTTACTTCTTGCAGTACACAAATGGATATATTTGGCCAAAAATCGACATTAGGGTCAAATTTGTAGATTTTTGTATCGATGCCATATTCTTTAGTTAAAACCGGTCTTTTATTATTTCATACTTATAAATAGTAAAAAATTTACCTATAAACGTGGTGTGTCTATTTCCTTAAGGCTTGAATTCGAGAAGTAACTCATTTTGTCAGCATGCTTCACATATTATACCATAACTTGTAACATTTTGCTGGTTCTGTGTCTCAACTCAATGGCCCCTACGTTTCTATCTGTCTTTCCTGCTTTTTTCCAGCACTGAATAAATTTAGTGGGTGGTTGGCGGGTGCTCTGTTGTAGTTTGCTCTTTCTTTCCTGTCAAACATCTATCGTCCTTATCTCTCCTCCTTTTTTGTAAATATTACTCTTTTATAACACCTCTATTCTTCGGCCCTTATATGACCTTATTGTGTTGCAAGCGCAGTAAAACACTTACTAAAATTAAAAGAATAATTTTATTGTGTCAAGATGTTTCTTTTTACTCAAACCATTAAAAATGAAATAAAAATCTGTGTTCGTTTTTTTGTAACTCTTTCCGTTTCTGTTTCTGTGATATTTCCAGATGCCAACTTGCCTGAACTTGCCCTGAACCAAAGCCTAAAAAAGGACATAATTCGCCAGTCCAGTTTCAAAGGAGGTCAAGGCCGAGTCATGACCTGGTTGTTGGACTCAGCGGGCTATGAGCAGTGTGGGAAAAGTAAGTAAAAATAGTTTGTTTTACTTTATCACTTTTTTTTTTAAAGCATAGATTCTGACTCAATCCAGTTTTTAAAATTGTCGATCTCATTTTTTTATTTCAAAGTTGAAGCTTACTTTTTCCATCCAGACTCAACCCACTTAAAAAATGTGTAGATCTCATTTCTTTATTCTAAAGTTGGAGCATACTTTTCCATCTAGAGCATTTCCCTGACTCCCTTTATTTGACCATATTATTCTTTGTGGTGTTCTTTTTTGGGGGGAATTATTTTCATTTGAGGGACCAGTTTCGCCTTACAAGTTCTTCATGCCCCAGAGTTCAAAGTATGGTCATGTGATCCAATGATGCATGTGACTCTGCTTTGTCAAGGAAGACATATGAGACATATCAGATTTTAATGATTCAAGTCGATGCTGCTTAAAAACCATTCTTTGTCAATCCATCAATGTTCATTAATGGCAGTTTCATTTATATGGAGTGCACACTCATTTGGGAGAGAAGCGTGCTCTGAAAAAAGGAAAATTTCAACTACTGCATACTTAAATATTATGTTAATTGATGTTAGACTTTCATCCCCTGCGTCCCATATCCCCAACCCCAACCCCAAAAACCAAGCTCACTGCACAATGGACATCAACATTTTGCTTCCTTTTTTTATCCTTTCTTTTATATTCCTACCCGAAAAAGGAATGTTCTGCCTTTGAAATGGCCTGTTTTGATTAACCCTATCCGTACATCGTGTTTTACTATCGTATCCATACGACGTGGGGAACTCTGTGCCACCACTTTCCAAAGAGGAAATTTACTCGTTTATCCATTCTGTACACTTTGCACAGCAGTCTGTCAAAATGATTTTTTGTAGTAGGCTCTTTCTCAGTGAAGTAAAAAGTAGACTTGTTGATCATTCTGTGCAGAACATAGAGGAAGAAGTCTGTCGCAAGTATAATTTATTCTCTCTTACAATTCCGTTTCAAGAAACAGCTGAATATATCTCCAACTTCCCTCGGTATTGGAGCAGAAGAGTCATAGCTTTGTTAAAAACCCATAGCCTTCCATTAAATAATAATCTCTATCGGTGGAAATTAACTAATTCATCCTTATGTGGGAGATGTAACTCTCATGAAATTGAAGATGAGTTTCACTTTATTTTCTATTCTTCACACTTTGTCCATCAAAGGAAATTGTTAATTCCTCCCAGCCTGACTCAGCCCAGTGACAGAAATATGCAATGCTTGACTCATGATAAGAGATATGTGCACAACCTTTACCTTTTCATTATGGAAACTTTATTTATCAAATGAATGTTTCGTGTGATGTGATGTGGGCTGATGGCCTTATACACTGAATAAACTTACTTACTTACTGTCACAATTATTTTTTGAGAAACACTAAACGTTTCAAAGATCTTCGCACTAGAAGTATTGTAAAATGTGAGGAATACAAACCCAGGGGTACAAAATGACCCCAGGGCGTACGGATAGGGTTAAGAAATTCATCAAGCTGTAACGCATCCCTCAACCCACTAATCTTCTGCGTGTATTTGCAGATATCCAGTCATGTAAGAGTGAACTGCGACAGCTGAGAGATCTGTTGGAACAGATCCAGTCACTGCCCATCTCAGCCGACTCAGGTCTGGAGGTAAGTTCATGACCGAGGGTCCAAGACCTCGACACCCTCAGAAGTGAAATTTTACTTTCTTTTTTTTTTTCTTCTTTCTTTGCCCTTTGCAGGGTTTGTACGTTATGTTTGTAATTTATTTCTGTAAGTTGCCAGGGCTTGATCTAAAGCAATGTCAGCATTTTTTAAAACTTTTACTCTGTGTCTATGCGGAGCAGTTAATAAACTTTGTATAGGTTTTGAGAGAGTATATTGGAAGGTTTAAGTATATATTAGATTGGCATCTTGAACTTCATTGAAGGAATTAATCCGTCGAACAGCGTTTTAAACTTTATTTATGAATGCAACATGAAGACATCTGTTGAGATTTGGGTTTATCTTACAGAGCTCCTAATTTTAGGGCTTTGAATGTAAAGAATTAGCTATAAAATAAATGTACACAATGACACATGTGCTGACCAAATGCAGAGAGTTTTTTCCTGTGTCTTTTCTTGTTTGTAGTTTGTGGAACGTTCAGATATTTTTTATTTTTTATTTGAGAAAAAAAAATTTTGGTAAGTGTTTTACGGTGCTCACAACTGCATAAGGTCATAATATGAGCGCGCAGGACACACCAAACATTTTCAGTTTGTAGGAAATTTTGAATTTTTGCCCGGGTGGCGGCCGAAGCCTACTCTTATCGATTTTAGACCACCAAGGGATCTTCAACGTGCGCAACCTGCACCAGAGAAGGCTAGGTGTAGATCTTTCCTACCAGAAAGTCAGGGGTGTAGCTGAAAGACAGAAGTAAGAGGGAGCCAAGGAGTAGCAGTAGAAAGGCTGCAGAAAGAGTCAGGAGCCCAGAGGAGGGGGCAAAGGAGGTGAGGGGGAGGGGGAAGAAAGTGGAGACGAAAGCAGATGACAAAATTTTGCAAGAGAGAAGGAAAAAAGGTGAAAGGAGACAATTTTAGAGAAGAAAAGTTTTCGGTCACTACCGGGATTCGAACCCAGCACCTTTGAATGAGAGGCGAACACCTTAACCTCTAGGTCACGAGAGCCCCCGTTCAGATATTTGGTTTCTTGTATGTAAAGACATTGAGATATGGGTTTCTTGTATTTTGAGTTTATCTTTCGTGTTTCCTGTGTTCTGTTCCTTAAGTATCTGTTAGACAAACTCTGTTGTGATTTTTATAACTTTTTAATTCCCTTTGAATGTTACCATTTAAGTATCTTAAGTACTCAGAGGTCACTCTACTTTGGTTATTTTCATAGACTTCATTGTTTATCCCCCTATGATTGTCTTTCATTTATTGATATGTTCTTTGTGCATACATTTTTCTTTACAACTAGTGTTATGTTAAAGTGGTCTTGCATTCTGCTACTGTCGACTGAACGTTTCAAGGAAATGGGGCTCCTTAAATACATTGAAGAAATTGATAATGGATGTAAAAGTACACCGTCACTTTGTTGTAGGAAATTTTAAAGCAAATTAGATTTACACCCCCCAAAAAAGTAATAGGGAATATGTTGGGTTTTTTTTTCAATTTCTGCTGCACATGATATATATACCATTAAGCCTATTTAAATCCCATAATTTTCCTTCATTTGATCACTTGTTGTGAGTGCTATATATATGTCAGAAGTTATAATTATCAGGTTTTGAATGGGGGGGGGAGAGAAAGGGGGTTGTACATATTAAATAAGTTTCATTCCAGGGGTAGGGGTGAGGGGAAGAAAGGGGGTTGTACTTTCATAGCATCCCCTGTGTAGTGGTAAGTCCACTTTTATCACCTCAAACCGCTGTCATAGATTTTTTAAAGGTGGATTATCGTAATTTTACAGATAAAGTTAAAGTGTTAGAGTGCACGAAGTCTAGTTAGTAGTATGCCAGTAGGATTTTTTCAAGTCGTATTTTACACTGGTTTAAAGCAGTTGTTTTTCGTATTTTGTTCTAGTTTTTCTTTCATAGATGAGTCAGAATTTCTCTCTGGATTTTCAGTTCATAGATTTGTTTTCATACTCGAGATAATGTTTGAATGCTACTGGGAATTTCCGTCATTGTCTTTTTGTGAGTGCCGACAACTATGGTTAAATGTTAGCCTCTCAAATTTTTCTTTCAATAAGGGTTTTACGCCCACTTGCAATGCAGAAATTATGTTATAAATGTCGACGATTAGACGTATTACAAGGGAGTAACAAACACAAAAAGAAGGACGAGAGATAAGGATGATAGATGTTTGATAAGAAAAAAAGAACAAACTATACCAGAACACTCGCCACTTCATGCACTTTGACTTTTTGCATGCAGAAGGGAGTTGGAAAGTTTTTTTTGTTTGTTTTTTAATGAAGCATCTCTGTCTGTCTGCTATCTCAACCCGAATTGACTCTCACTAGCAGAGTTGAAGCCACCCACCTAATGAATTATGTAAATTGTGTCTTTGGGGTTGTTTTGTTTTGTTTTAGTGAGAACTTTATGGCACTTGCAACAGAGATAGGTCATATAAATACTGATGATTAGGGGGGTGTTACAACTACTAGAGAGTAAAGTCAAAGGAAAGAAGTATGAGAGGTAAAGACGATAGATGTGTAGCAGAATAGAAGGAATAAACTACATCAAAGCACCCACCAACCACCCACTATGGGGCTGTGAAACATTAATTTCCTTTTTCAGTTGTCAGGTATTATGTAGAAGGCGAATGATAATATTATGTTGCTTTTTTGCTTGGTTGCTCGAGCGCTGCTAGTCTATTGCTTTTGATGAAAGGAAAGCAGAAATCGAAAAGGAGATTTAGCTTTTTCTGCATTGTGCTTGTAAGCTGCCGACTCAAGGGAAAACATCGGTCACTCCCCTTATTCCCCCTTACATTTCCCCATTCCTTAATTAAACATCGCTTGGAAACTTTTACCCCGCTTTCTTCTCCCTGTTCAAGTATCTGGACGGCCCTGCTTCCAGTTCTCCAGCTTCACAATCCCCGCTCCACAATATGTAATTATGTTGCTTCATTATGACTACTACGCCAAACCTTTATTACCAGCATCACCGACCCCTTTTTTACTACGAAATAAACATTATTTTAACAAGTTCACCATAATCGTTGCTGATGGGAGCTGTAATACGGTCTTTACGTGTTTACAACTAAATGAACATTATTTTAACAAGTTCACCTTAATCGTTGCTGATGGAAGCTACAATACGGCCTTTGCCTCTTGACCTGTAACGATATTGATGATGTCCTTAAATAAAAACCGCCCACACACAATCCATGACAAAATACCACCCGTGACTCGCCCATTCAATTTCTCAAATTGTCTCTTTAGGGTTTTTTGGTTATTACTGCACTGTGTACAACATTGGTGACGGTTGCCCCCTATAGCATGTCAGTTCCTCCATCCTGTAGCACGAGCATGATCAGAGTTGACAGATTGGATGAATCTATCAGCATGTGTCGCTTTGGATGCTTCTCTCAGCATGTGTCCCTTGTTTTTTTCTTTTGGAAGTTCTGGATGGTCGCCCACTGGTGTCATCAATTGTGTATTATTATGGGCAAGTGATAGCTTTGTTTTACAAACATATCTTTGTCACAGAAGAAAGGATTACATGCTTACATTGTCCTGAAAGGACACGTTGACACAGCAGGGAAATTTTATTCCAATCTGATTTCTTTATGATGAATTATAAAAGAGTTGAAAGCCTTAATTTTATGAAAATGTTGCTCTTTTGTCTGAAGTGAACTATTTCTTCGTAGTTAGGATTCACCTGCCTCCTTCATGAAACTCAGTCCTCTGAAAGACTTTCTAGTTTTTCATGTTGCGGGCACCTAAAGAGCAAAGGGTAGCGCCCCTTAAATAACCTAATAGTGTTGATAGGGGCGTTAAACCCATACCATTTCACCATTTTCAAAGTGGTAGATGTAACAGTGAATACAATTTCGTAATGGTTAAAAGTTTAAGTACACAGAACCAGCAAAGCTAGTTCCCTATTGATGACCCATTGTTTCTGAGAAACTTTGGTATAATTTGCCAAAGGTGCAGGAAAACACGTTAGTTATTTTACACTATTACTAATGTTCTGTAATGGTTTCACTGGTATTTCTGTACTGTTATGAATAGTTAACAACCTGGCATGTTCTAGAATGTTGTTTTGGTACATTAAATTGTCTTTATAATACATTTTACTTCATGCTCATATTCCAAATGTTGTCCAGGTGGTATGTGCCTGTTTAAGAGGCATAGACTGTCTGTCAAGATGCACACATATTTTACTGAGTCTGTTTTAGCAGAGAGTACAATACCACAGCTTGTCCCTTACATCTCTTCTGAATGCTGTTGTTGTTTTGTCTTTTTTTGTTTTCTTAACTTTTTCTTAATATTTTCTGTGTCATTGAAGTCCGTGACACTTACCCTCCATGTCTTGTCCTCATTTCGTTTTGCTTGATATCATACTACATGTACACTATGATTTTTACATGTTTTCATTTCAGTTTTCATTATTTTTTCTACTTGCCTTGCCATTTATGATTTATTATGCGCCCCCTACTTTGGCTCTTCCTCCAAACGCCCACCCGTGTGCCCCCCCCCCCAACCTTCTTCTACCTTCACCCCCACAACGTGCGGATTTCCTCTCTGGTCTTGCATCCCACCCCCACCCCTCTCCTCCCTCCTCTCTCCTCTCTCCTTCCTCTCCACCCCACCTGCCTGCCCTTTCTCAGCGCGCCGAGAGCTGTGATTCTGATGCTGCTGTTGCCCTGAGGAAGAAGCGCGGGTTCCGCATGAGCAAGAGGCGAAATGAGCGCAAGAGTGATAGCTACACCAGCGTGGTCACCTCCAGGGACAATGTAAGACTCCAAACTTGTAGGTAGTTGAGTGGACAATGTAAGACTCCAAACTTGTACTTGTAGGTAGTTGAGCGGACAATGTAAGACTCAAAATTTGTAGGTAGTTGAGTGGACAATGTAAGTCTCCAAACTTGTAGACTCCAGAGTTGTAGGTAGTTGAGTGGACAATGTAAGACTCCAAACTTGTACTTGTAGGTAGTTGAGCGG